GCCTTATCCTTATACTATAGATCATTTTGACTATATATTTGAACTTGATCAACTCTTATGTCTCTACATATAGTTCAAGTAATCATACTATAACCGGAGTGTTCTTAGTTTATTGAATTTAGATTAATGATCGTAAAGTTCACTTTATTCAATAACAATCTTTACTGAATAAACAACAATAATAACTTTATTGAAAATAGAATATGTTTTTGTTTACAAACTATGAGTTTTAGGACATAAAACCCAACATATACGTGTGTCACAGCGTGCGTGAGAATTGCGGGATGAGCATTTCAGGCATCTTCCTTTGAAAAGGGTCTTTCAAGAACAGTGTTGGACGACACGGATGTGCTGACATTGCGCCCTTGCAAATGTGTCAAATGTTGGATTAGGCACCCAATATCCAAAACATATTTCCAAAATGATTGAGGATGGACACAGGAGGGTCCAGTGTCTCGATAGAACCTGGATGGATGGATCTTCAGATTCTCCAATGAGATGAACGACACGTGGGTCAATTCCGATTGATATGTCTTAGATAGCTACGATGGTCGAGTTGTCCTGAGACATGAGACGACATCATGATGTATAGATCATTCGATGGGAACTTAGATAAGGATGAGATGAGACGTTGCTTACGAGAGATCTTGGTTTAGAGTAGAGGCAAGGTCGAGCCGGATGACTTGACCTAATATAGAGGCAAGTCATCTAGCATCACAGATGATTGAGCAAACATGCACAAGCTGCGTGTGTGACCGAACAAGATTGAATTTCACACAAGTTGTGTTTGGTTGGCTAAGGCGAACCTCGCCTAAGGTCCGCTAAAAAGCCACAAAATTGGGTGAAAAAGTTATATGAAGCTAGAGTTTTCCTCAAGGTTGGTCATGAGTGTGTCAAGATCACGACGCCACATAGTTGAAAAAATACGACCGTAACAGCCCGACACCACTAGTGTGAACCTTCTAGATAAAACCAGTAGGTAGACACGTATGGAGTTATTTCCAAAAAGAATGTCTCCTCCTTACTTATAATGGACCTAAGAAAACATAAAGCATAGAGCCCATCATAAGGGCCAAGTATTTCAGAGCCTATCGTAAGGACCATGAATCTCAAAGTCCATTATAATGGCCAAGTATTTCAGAGCCTTTCGTAAGGGCCACAAATCTTAGAACCGATCATAAGGGTCAAATATTTCAAAACCAGTCATAAGGGCCAAGTATTTCAGAGCCCTGTCATAAACGTCATATATTTCAAAGCCAGACATAAGGGCCTCGCACTTTAGAACATAGCCTATGTTAAAATAAAACTCACTAATCTATGAAGTAAATCTCATACACTAACGACAGAACGCTCTACTTTGTGAAAATACTACTTGCCTATTTGTGGAAAAGATGTCAAGAGAGGAGAGACAAGAAGACAAAGAACACTGATTTAAAAAAAAAAAAAAACTTTTTCTATGGCTCTGTATTTCTTTTCTCTCTTGCTCTCCTTTGCTCTCACTTTACAATAAAAAGATTAGGTATTTATAAGTTTTCTAACTCTACTAATAGGGTATGAGAGAACCCTAACTCTACCATTATTCCTACCATGCTTTTGCCCTTTTCTTTAACCTCACTTTTCAAATTAATCTCTCTTAACAAATTACCAAAAATTAACCTTTAGCATTTTGAGTTTATTTCAACAAAACTAACCTTTACCATTTTAAGTTTATTCCAACAAAACTCCCCCATAAACATAAATGTTATATTCAACGATTCCACCTGCATCGTTTTTGTTTTCTCGAGCTCAGTCGTGGTTTTTTCAATTTTCTCTCCTTCTCCTCGAGCAGCAAACTAAGTTTGTTCTTTTCTGACGAAACTTTATTTGGAGCTTCTCGAGAATAGCCCATTTGAGATACCAACTTCTCATTTCTCCTGTTCTCAGCCACGCTCAACTCATACGTCATAGCTTCTTTTAGTTTACTCAATTCCCTTCGCAAGTCCACAACGACATTTTTCACTTCCATTTTTGCCTCCTCCACTTCGGCTTTATGACGAATGATTATCTCAATCGTGTGTCGTAAATTCACTGCCTCCTGTTGAACTCGATTCAGATTCACGTCGAGTGAGTCTCTCTATTGAGTTAGCATCTCTATATCTTTCTCCTCTCTCACTAGCTCTTCCACTAGACCATCAATCTCCAATAAGTCATTCTCTTCCTCCACACCTTCAATTTTCTTCATAAGCTCAGAGATTACCTTCCCATTCTCTTCTCCTGTTTGAGATATAAAGAACTCTCACCCAACTCAGCCACTTTCTTCTCTAACCTTGCAATCTCCATTTCTAAATCTTTCTTTTCTTTTTGAATCTCTACTTTCTCCTTCGAAAGACGCTCGTTCAAGGATTTCAACGTCTGCAACTGAGACTTCTCCATAGATTTATCCACGACAGTTTTGGGTTGTTGCTCTAAATCTTTGTTCTCCTCCTCATGATCTGACAGTTTCTTTGGCTCATTTGCTGATCGCATGGGCTTCTTCTTCGTCATTGTTTTGGAATATTGAAGAGATTTTGAAGGGATTGCAGCTTGCATTTGCACCATCTGTTTCTCATGTTCAATCAACATTTATGTCATCCTTTCTCTTTATTCCATCTTTTCTTCTTCCATTTCTCTTCCATTCTCATCTTCTTTCTTCTTTCTTCCTCAAGTTCCCTTTCCAGCCATTGGAGCTCTCTCTTTTCGAGCTCAAGCTCTCTATTATCCGGTTGTTCATCCTTCTTCAATTTTCTCGTCTTTGATATTGTGATTTCGCCAAATCCGTTGTGTATCACCTCATTTCCAACAGCTTCCACTGCCTCACGACTACCGCCATTGTCTTTCGCGTCGTCGTGTTCTTTTGCTTTCATCTCTTCATTTTGGGCCATCAAGAGAATGTCTTCGTTTGTTGCGTCATCCAAAGCTAGGTTGATCGTTGCTTCCTCCTTTTTCTCGCCTCGATAATCTCTTGCAAAATGTCCCACTCTGCCACAATTGTAACATTTGTCAGAGTTACAATCATTCGCACAGTGACCATATTTTTTACATTTAGAGCACTAAATGTTGGAATAATATCCTTGACTATGTTCTCTTCCACGCCAATTTGCATAGCTCGACTATCTCTTCTCCTTATATCCTTGACTGCGTCTTCTTCCACGCCAATTTGCATAGCTCGACTATCTCTTCTCCTTATATCCTTGACTGCGTCCTCTTCCATGCCAATTTGCTTGGCTCGGCTATCGCTTCTCCTTATATCCTTGACTGCGTCCTCTTCCATGCTAATTTGCTTGGCTCGACTGTCTCTTCTCCTTATAATGTCCTTCATATCTGCTGCCTTGACCACCTCGACCATTTTCACGACTTTCTCGACCTCTACCTTGAAAATTTTGAGAGTAGAGTACCTTTTCATCTTTTATTGATGTCTTGGTTTGAAGTGTTTGATCGAGTGTTTCCTCCTTCTTTTTCTTACGTTGCTCATGTGTCTCGAGAGAACCGGCGAGCTCATCGACCGTGAACGTCGCTAGGTTCTTTGACTCTTCTATCGCACATACAACATTCTCGAAGTTGTTGGTTAATGACCTTAAGATCTTCTACACAACCCATGTCTCGGGTAACATTTCTCTGTTTCGATTTAGTTGGCTTACCACAGTCTATACGCACGTAACGTAGTCAGATACATTTTCTGACTCCTTCATCTTCATGCTCTCCAACTCGCCACGAAAAGTTTGGAGACGCACTTGCTTGACTCGGTAGGTTCCTTTGAACACCTTTTCTAAAGTCTCCCACGCTTCTTTTAAAGTAGTTGCCCTAGCAATCTTCTCAAAGTCCGACTTGTCAATGGCTCGAAACAGCATGTATAATGTCATCTTATCCTTTGATCGCAATTCTTTTAACGCCTTCGTTTGTTCTGTCATATAACCCGTGGTATCCTTTGGTTCTTCGAAACCTTCTTCGACCACCTCCCATGCATCTTAAGAACCGAGAAGAGCTTTCAGTTGGATGCTCCAATTCTCGTAGTTCGTCTTCGTTAGTCGTGGTAGCGGCATTTGATCCATCACATTGGTCATCGTCTCTGATACCAATTTGTTAAAATAAAACTCACTAATATGTAATCTCACACACACTAACAATAGAACACTCTGATACCAATTTGTGAAAATACTACTCGCGTACTTGTGAAAAAGATGTCGAGAGAGGAGAGACAAGGAGACAAATAACATTTATAAAAAAACCTTTTCTATTGCTTCGTATTTCTTTTCTCTTTTCTATTGCTCTGTATTTCTTTTTTCTCTTGCTCTCTTTTGCTCTCACCTTACATTAAAGGATAGGTATTTATAAGTTTTCTAACTCTAATAATAGGTTACAAGAGAGACACCCATAACCCTATCATTATTCCCACAAATGCTGCCTTTTCTTTCACGTGACTTTCCAAGTTAACCTCTCCTACCAAATTACCTAAACTTACATTTTAAGTTTATTTCAACAAAACTAACCTCTAGCATTTTAAGTTTATTCCAACCGTCTATGTATAGTTGAGCACATGGCCTAAGTATGTGTTACAAAGTATAAGTGAGAGCCTACTAGCAGATTCCTTATTGAGTATTTATAATATCCACTCTTGCTGCACTTTATATTTTCCAAGTATCAAAAGAATAATGGTCATGGTGGGAACGTGTTGGGTCGTTCGGCTATAGAAGGGAACGTTATCTTGTCTATTGTGTTTATTTGTTTATGATTTTGAGAACTCTATCATTTAAATTTATAAACTTTGTATTTAATGTCGTATGCATACGTATACGACTTTTTTACCCTTTTTTATCCTTTCATTAACGTAATGGTTTCTGATTCGCTGCGTTGAAAAACAAGTTGTTTCAACACGGTCGACGATGAAGACATGGAACAAAGCTCTTTAGGATAGTTTTCATAGTCATTATGTTTCATTGATAAATGTGGATTCTAAGACCCATTCACAATATATTCTAACCACAATATATTCATCCAAGAGGAAAATACATCGAATATTGTGCATACAGTCCAACGGGAGCAACGATCATAGTACTCCTATCGATTGCCTTAAACAGCCATACCCTCTTCGAATGATACGTTATAGTATAAAAAACATGCCATGGACATAGAGGTATTAGGAAATCAGTTAGTGCCCCTTCCGTTCCTCCAATTATGCATTCTCCTTCCTACACAAACATTTACTCTTAGTTTAGTCCTTGAACTTTCAATTTCCTTCTTTCAAATAGAACACGATACCTCTTGTTCAAGAACGATATGTTTAATCTCAATCGAAAACGTGACGTTTGAACTCGTTTGATGAACATAAACTACGTAACCACGAAACTCGATCACGATGCTTCTAAACACTTCTGAATCAATTGAAACAAAGGTTTCCAAATTGATTTGGCCCATATACTCCTTGATGGTTTGTGTCATTGACATATTACGAAGCAATGGCATTTCATTCCCTAATCAAACAAACAAGATTCTTTGACAAGGAACAAGATTCTTGGAAGAACAAGAATTTGACTATATGAAATGAAACCAACCTGGAGGGGTAAATTTAAGGTTTAAACGATCGGGACTTCGGAGAACGAAGAGGGCGGCTAAAGGAATGTTGAAATGTTGCATACGCCTGATGATAGAGTAGAGGGGTGAGAGGAGAATCTTGGAAACATGAGACTTGTGGGAGAAGAAGAGGGTGAAGAATTCAGGCATCATTTGAAAGGCTACGTTTAATTCAAGGGAGTGGTGGGAGACTGCTATGGAAAACAAGTCAGGCGAGCATTCTAGGTTGGCACTCTCGGCAAAACGATTCAATATGTATATTACTTCTAGAAGAAAATTGGCGCAGTCAATCTTAAGCAACAACATGGTGTGATGGGAGAAGGTGGAGAAGGAAAAGGGATGGCATGTTGCCTCACTTTTATAGCTCACTTTTATAGTCCTCGTTGGCATTCGTTCCTTTCTTCGATCGATGTGGAACTCCACCAAATCCACTCCTTCGGAGTCGAGCGTCCTTACTGGCACACCACCTCGTGTCTACCTCTTTCAGGAAAAGCCTCGTCACTAGCACATCGTCTGGTGTCTGGCTTTGATACCATTTGTAACCAAATCCACCCCCTTCAGGGGACTGGCTCCTTGTTGGCACTTCGTCCGATGTTTGGCTCTAATATCATTTGTAACGACTCAAGCCAACCGCTAGAAGATTTTGTCCTCTTTGGGCTTTCTGTTTCAGGCTTCCTCTCAAAATTTTTAAAACGCGTCGGCTAGTTAAAAGTTTCCACACCATTATAAAAGACATTTCTTTCTACTCCCAACCAATATAGGATATCACATACAAGCTTTCAAAATACTGATTAAGCCCACAGCTAGCAAATGTTGTCTCACTTTTATAGCGGTTACACTTAAGTCAGAAATTGGCACTCAAAGTAATTGCTCATCCACTTTTTCCAACCACTTTTCCACTATGATGAGTGAATTTTATTCCTAAAAATTATGTTCCATTGTAGAAAGAAAAAAAAATAATAAATAAATAAATAAATAAAAATATGTCCCATATAGCCTAAGTTGAAGAATGGAGAGTGGGCCCTTAGAAAAGAGAGGTCACACACTTCATTTTACTTTCATTTTATCATCTAACTTGAACGGTTCGAGCCAGTCGAAGAATACCCTTCCTTTTAGTTTTAATTTTTCACCCTTTCCTCTTAGTTGGAGTCAAGTTGAAAGTATATCAAGTTTCGGTTTTGGTGTCAAGTATTTAAGCATAATTAGGCTTTGTTGGTTTAAATGACTGAGAATAAGTTTAAATTATTTTATAAAAAATTAAGTAAATAAATTCCCACGTTGGACCTCTAGGAGAATTAAATTTCAGAGAGTAGTGTTAAGCTAGCATTAAGGGGTCGTAGTAGGTTCGACATAGGCCAACCAAGTAAGTAGCCTTATTATCGGTATGGTTAGAAATTGATATTTTGTATTATGACATGTGTCTCGTGGTTTTGCACGTGTCATATGCTTGATATGTTTATGAAACGATATGACTATGATATGTTTATGAAAGGATATGACTGATATATATATATAAAACGATATGACTATGATATGTTTATGAAACGATATGAAAGGATAAGTCCATGACATATCCATGATACGGTACGACTATGAGATGATATGAGAATATTATGACACATGTTATGATGTGATGTACTGATGATATGATAAATGTTATGTTGTAACACGTTTTGTGATATAGTATATGATGGTACAAGATAAGTTGATCATATAAGATATGTATGGTATGACACGATGCATGATATGAATGATATAAGATAAGATGTGTCTAAGATGTGTGAATATGATGCACAACCCCGATTTATGCATAAAAAGCTACGACGAAAATGATGTGATAGGAAGAAAAATGAAATGGGTTGTCTTACATGATAATGAATAAAAAAGTTAGGACCTCATGCATCATTTGTGTTCATGGTACGGACGCATACACTACAAAGCAGGGAATGTTTGCCCTACTATGAAAGGGGCCTAGGAGGTGTGTGAACCGACTGGTGGGTCCATACTTGCATGTGTGAATCGTGTGTAGAACAGTAAAACACATCCAATTAACCTGTTTAGGATAACTAACTAACGAATATAAACTGATATAATAGGTCTCACTCATGATTGTATATATTTGCATCTAGCCCCAATGGTGTGGTCACCTATGGAGTATTTTAGGAGAAATACTCAAGCCAGATACTACTTCTATTTCAGGTAAAGTCAAGGCAATCTTGTACGGCTTGACGACCGTATAACAACTCAAGACCATGGCACATGCATAAGGTAGTTGTATTTATTTTTTTAGACTTAGGTTAGAATAGGGTGTTTAATTTTAATGTTTATTTATTTCATTTAGTATTTCGTTGTGTCTTTTAAAGACGTTTTCAAACGGTAAGTCCATAACAGTATTTCAAAACGAAATTTATGTTTTATGATGAAGTTTAAACACTTATTTCTGCACAAATGATTACAAATGATTATGTTATGATCACGGTAGCAACTCTAGGTAAATAGAAATATAGGATCGTTACACCCATCTTCTCATTCGGTCAAGTTACAATGAATTACATGCCTATATTTCACCCAAGAGGAAAAAAGATGGAATATTGTGCGTAGAGTCCAACAGGGGCAATGATCAAAGTACTCTTATCAAATGTCTTGAACAACCATATCCTCTTCGAATGAAACGTCATATTATAAAATATATGCCATGGATACAAAGGGATTAGGAATTCAGTTTGCACCTCTTCCGCTACTCCTTCAATTATGCATTCTCCTTTCTACACAACATTTCGTTTCCGTTTAGTCCATAAACTTTCAAATTCGTTATTTCAAACACGCTCGAGTATTAGACGACGATACCGCTTTATCAAGAATCAACTCCTTAACCTCAATAGAGAACATGACACTTGAAGGTGTTGGAAGAACACAAACTGTACCATATGACAAACATTTCTTTGAATCAAATCATATGATAGAGAGAAAACAAAACAAGAGATTGAATGATTATAATATAACCTATGTATCCACGAAACTCAGCCACCATGTGTCGAAACACTTCTGATTCAATTGAAACAAAGGTCTCCAAATTGATTCGGCCGACATCCTCCTTCACCGTTTCATTCAATGCCATGGTACGAACCAATGGCATGTCATTCCCTAATCAAATAAATGGTTAGTTGAACACGACTCTTTACAATAGTATGATATTGTCCACTTTGAGCATAAGCTCTCACGGCTTTACCATGATCATTCCCTAAATTAGTCGATGTGGGACTTTGATCTAACATAAACAAGATTCTTGGACAAGTAACAAGATTCTTGGAAGAACAAGAATATGAAGATATGAAATGAAACCAACCTGGAGGGGAAAATTTAAGGACTAAGCGATCATTACGTCGAAGAACAAAGAGGGCGGCTAAAGGGATATTGGATTGTTGCATGCGCTTGATAGTGTCGTAGAGGGGTTGGAGGAGGATCCTTGAGAGATGGGACTTGTGGGAGAAGAAGTAGGTGAAGAATTCAGGCATCATTTGAATGGCTACAACCAAGTCGAGGTTGTGGTGGGAGGCTATTATGGAGAACAAGTCCGGTGAGCACTCTACGTTGGCATTCTCGGCAAATCGAGTCAATAGGGATATTGCTTCGAGAAAGAAAGTGGGGCAGTCAAGCTTGAGCATCAACATGGTGTAATGGGAGAATGTAGAGAAGGAAAAGGGATAGTTTGTTGCTTACCTTTTATATTGGAATGTGATAATGAGTCAATAATTTGTTCTATTTTAAAATGGGAGAGATTTGAGTATTAGGTAATTAAGAAAGGCTTAAAAGAAATGAAAGTTAATATATATACCAACAATATGCAATTCTTTTTTTTTTCGGTGGCTCAATCATAAGAACTTCATAGTTAAACGTGCTTTACTTGAGCAATTCTATGTTGGGTGAAGTAGTCTTCACTCTTAAGAAGTGAGAAGTAGGTAATGTGTCCATGTCGTAAGGGATGCAGGAAAATATCAGGGTCATCAGGTGCCGAATCTTTATTTTGAATCCTGAACATGGGACGTTACATAAACATATAATGAAAATGCCTTGATCCATATATGAAAACGCCCTGATCTAACCTAAAGGCTACAACTTAAACGAAAATGCAGATACTCTAATTTCGTTTTCATGGCCTTCACAGCAGCAGCATCTGTACAGGGTGTCTTATCCTTTCCTAAAAAGAAGTAGCACGTGACTTGAGTAATTAAAAACTCCAAAATTGGGGTCACGCTGATTGAATGTGGAGTACTTCTCCACTATTGGAGTCAAGTAATGTCAACACATTAAATCATGTTGGAATCTATTCTATCATTATACTCATGCCATTTGTCTTACTTTTTGATTGAATGTAGAGTACTCTACACATGGACCCCTAGTCGAGTCATATATGTACCTTTGGACCTGGCCTTCGACTAACATACACTCACATTGTCGAAAAAGCCAGAGAGAAAAAAAAAAGCACATATAATACCATGGTGTACATAATATCGTAGTGTATGTGTTCGCACTAATCATAACAGAAAGTATCCCGATGTATGTGACATACAAAATGCATGAGGTTCCCATATCTTTAAATCATGGCATATACGTATAATGCAAATCATAGTTCTTTCATAACATAAATTTCATGAATAACATATGTGCAACATTATTTCATAAACCTGGAATGACAATACTAGCAAAGTGTGTGGCATAGCATGCAGAGGTTTCATGCATCATACAATTTTACTAAACACCCTTGTGCATCTTTTTCTTTCGATCTTCTTTAGGTGGCAATTCCACATTCTCGTAAATATTACGAGTAAATAACCACAATATGAATAAGGACGGTAAAGGATCGTCGATTGGAAAATGGGGAAGGTAGCCCTTTGTCCCTTGTGACATAGCTGAGGGGTGAAAGACTTTTGTTTTAGTTCTACATTCCAACTAGGATTATACCTATTGAATTTCATTAAGACAAAAGAATGGCAAGTAGCATACATTAACATTTTGAACATGATTTGAGTTGTTATTTTATAAACTTTCACCATTTTACTTTCAAATATATTTAATGCATGTAAGATTTTAGTTTAGTCAAAATTATCGAATGATTTCAAATTTCACTTCAGTTAATAGTTACAGTGATGATAACTTCAAATTTCACTTCATTTGATAGCAATGATAGCATTCCAGTTTCTCTCATTTCACTTCAGCTGATAGCAATGATAACATTCTAGTTTCTCTCGATTTTGGCATAGCAAGCCTCAACGGGAGGCCCACATGACATCCTATTAATAAAATGGTAGAGGCATCGATAATTGGGTCGTTGTGCCTGACTATGAGGGCTCTCGGCCATATGAATAGTGTTCCAGTTTCTCTCGCTTTAGGCATAGCGGGCCCAGCAAGAAGCCCACATAACAGGCTATTCGCTCAATGGTAGAGGCATCGATAATTGGATCGTTGTGCCTCGACTATGAAGACTTTTAGCCATATGAATAGTGTTCTAATTTCTCTCGCTTTTGGCATAGCGGGCCCCAGCAGGAGGCCCACATGACAGGCTATTAGCTCAGTGGTAGAGGGCATCAATAATTAGATCATTGTGCTTCGACTGTGAGGGCTCTCAGCCATCCGCCATATAAATAGTGTTTCAGTTTCTCATGCGAGCTCCAGTAGGAGGCTCAAATGAAAGGCTATTAGCTCAGTGGTAGAAGGTATAATTGGGTCATTGTACCAGGACTATGAGGCCCAACAAGAGGCTCACATAAAAAGCTATTAGCTTAGTGGTAGAAGGCATAATTGGGTCATTGTGTCTGGACTATGAAGGCTCTAGCCATATGAATAGTGTTCCAGTTTCTCTCGCTTTTGGCATAGCGAGCTCTTTTGACATAGCGAGCCCAGCAGGAGACCCACATGACAGGCTATTAGCTTAGTGGTAGAGGGCATCGATAATTGGGTCATTATGTCTAAGTGTGAGGGCTCTCAACCATATGAAGTGTTCCAATTTCTCTCGCTTTTGGCACAACGGGTCCCAGTGGGAGGCCCACATGACAAGCTATTAGCTTAGTGGTAGAGGGAATCGATAACGGGTCCCAGTGGGAAGCCCACATGACAAGCTTTTAGCTCAGTGGTAGAGGGCATCTATAATTGGGTCATTGTGTCTCAACTAGCTTAATGGTAGAGGGCATCTATAATTGGGTCATTGTGTCTCAACTAGCTCAGTGGTAGAGGGCATCTATAATTGGGTCATTGTATCTCAACTAGCTTAGTGGTAGAGGGCATCTATAATTGGGTCATTGTGTCTCAACTGTGAGGGCTCTCTTGTGTCTCAACTGTGAGGGCTCTCAGCCATATGAATAGTGTTCCAATTTCTCTCGCTTTTAACCCGGCGGGAGGTCTCATTAGGAGGCCCAAGAGGGCATAATTGGGTTGTGCAGACAGCCACATTGAATAATTTTGATTATTTTTAGCCACATAACCAAGATCTCTTATTTTTAGCAAGTTGATTATAGTTATTTCTAGACATGGAGAATAATTGGAGAATAATTCGTGGCTCGAAACCTCTCAAAATATATAGTTTTATAAGCCAAATCAAACATAGTTCTTTTGGATCATATATACCAAATTTGATGAACAGAAATGAATAGCTAATGGCATACATCAACATTTATAAAAACTAGAGGCTAACAATCTTCCCCATATCATATATCCACATTCGAAAAATAGGCTAAAAAACGAGCCGACAATCCCAAAAGGAAACAAATCACACCTCTATGGGAATTGCTCGACTTGAATAACCACACAAATTTTGACCGAGACGATAAATTTGAAAACGTTGCCATTGGTTTCACCGTTATTACAAACTCAATTTTACTACACTCCGTCACCCCTCCAATAATGCATCGCCCTCCCTGCATGTAATCAAGCATTCATTAGCCTCCAAATCTTCATATTATGGATACCTCTTCATTAACAACACCCCATGCATACCTCTTGATTAAGAACAATCTCTGTCCTTTCATAAGAGAATTTCACCTCCGAATTCGTTATGGTAACAAGAACTAATACAAACAAACACAATAAATCATCAACGACTTCAAACCCTTTAAGATTTAATCAAGAACTTATTACCGGAATCAAAATCACTGAACGCCCCGAGAATCTCTCTAAACGTTTGCGAGTCGATCGAGGTGAAAGTTCCACAATCATATTCGAACACATCCCTCGAGTCGTTTGAAGGGTATAATAAGAGATCGAATTCCTCGTACCGCCCTAAAAGAGAACAAGTTAAAGATCGCCCTAGAAGAAAACCAAGATGGATTCTTTATTATAGAAGGCTTACCATTTGGACATTCGAATGTGAGCGCGGCACGCTCCGGTTTTGGAATAGAGAAGGTCAAGGATGAAAAACCGCTGCGAACAAAATCGACGACAATAGGGTAGAAGGACTCCATGTAAATCCATGAGTATTGAAGTTTGTGGCAAAAATATAGGTCAAAGAATTGAGGGAAGAGTTGTAGGCCTATAATGCAAGGGCAAAAAGAGGAAGAGCTGGCTATTATGGAGAAGGTTTCCGGTGAGAATTTGAGATCGACGGCATCTTCATGAAGGTTGGCTATGACGAAGATGGCATCTACGAACTCATGGATGTCGTTAAGCGTGAAACTAAACATTGTGTTGTACTTTGCTTTCAATTTGAGGCTAAATATAGTTAACCTATTAGTTAACTATTTTAAGGGTAGGTTAATTATAGTAGGGCTTTATCTTTTAAGGGTAGGATAGTTAACCTCTCCGTTTGACTTCGTTTTAGGGTAAGTTAATACACTTTGTCCGTATAGATAGTAACTTTCTAAATCTTTTGAGTCTTTGCTCTCATTTGGATGTCTCGATTCATTCATATACTCTCTCGGGTGTCGCAAGGTCAGTACGATTTCTACTTAGACATTTCAAAATGATGTCATGGACTTAAATATTCATAATAAAATCGTTAAAATAATACAACGGAAAGTAAATAGCGTTAAATTTAAAATAAAACAATGTTCTGATCTAACTTAAGGGTCACCAACAACATGAATGCATCTTCCTTAACTTCAATCCCATGGCCGTCACCGCTGCATTATCATCTATGCAAAGGTGTCTTTCCTTTACCTGAAAATAAGAGTAACGTGTGGCTTGAGTAAAATGTAATCACATGCAATCATGTTTGGAACCTATCCTTTCATAAAAATATTTTATGGCCTTGAACTCTATTCTCCAGTCGGGCAAAACTTGAATGTGTAGTACTTTCCTACACAAGTCCACGTATGCATACATGGACCCACTAGGTAGGTGTATACGTACTCTTGGGTATGCCTTTTAGTTAACGCACACTCACGCTGTTGGAGGCATGGAGGGAAAGGAATCCACATAATATCATGATGTATATTGATATCGTAATGTACACATATGTACTCATCGTAACGAGAAAATATCTCAATCACGTGACATTACATAGTTTAA